CCTCCAGCGCTCTCGTATGGCGCCGGCGCCGAGACCTCGGCTCCAGCGTCCGAGGATTATCTTGCGTGCCCAAACCAGCCGATGCGAACGATGGTGGACACCTCCACGTAGCAAGCTCCGCTTCAGGAACGGTCGCTGCCCGCATCTTCTCATCCCACCGGTCCGCCTCCCAGTGCCGAAGACAATAAGACCGCCGCGAAATTCGGGCTGCCAGCGTCGAAGATGGATCTGCCCCTGCCTTTGCGAGGACATCTACGTACTCGTTGCCGTAGTTTTTGGCATGGCTCTTGACCCAAACAGGTTCGCATACAGCATAAATAGATCGCACTTGCCTCCATAAAACCTGCAACATAGCCACTAAACCCACGTTCACCGTGGGATTACAAATGCCACGCAGGATGTTTACCACATACAAAGAATCGAAGATGAACTTGATCTTCTGGCCTTGGCGGATGTGGCGCTCGGACTCCGGGAGCTCCGCCTGAGACAACAGCCATACACACGCTTCAACTGGAGCTGATAACTCCCCAGTCGCGCTGGACACTCGGGCAGCTCCTATGAAAAGCGGCTGAGTACTATCAATTTCCACTGGGCCACAGCACTCGTATATAGGCAACTCCCCAGACCGCGGGTGCCCAATCGAGAACAGAGCGAATCCCCAACCACCTCTGCCCAACAGGCGGGTACTTTTAGCCCCTCTCTGGCCGTGAACCCGATCGAAAAACGAGCCGTCGCAGAATAAACCCCTCGTCTCGGCGTCTGGCCACGCACTGTGAAAAACTTCAGTTCCCCCCACCGCGGCAACCAATGAATTACGATAGGCTGTTGCGTCTGAGCAGCGCCACCCCACCGGCTTCTTCGGTGTTGTACCGGCCGAAGACACTGGAATCCAATTAGAAGAAGGGTCGGAGAGGTTCAGAGAGAGGATCAGAGGGACGTGGTCTGTCGTTGTCGCGGCACATGAGCTGACCTTGCAAGCGCCGTCTTTCACAGCAACTCCTCTCACAAGAAAATAATCAATTTGATTAGGCGGGAACCGGAAATCATGATAGCATGTGTGATAACACAAATGATGGTAATGATACGTGTTGACAGCATACAAACCATACGTGCACATCTCTGCGAATAAAGATTGGGCCTTCCACGGGCGCTCTTTCTCCAAAGGGTCTCCACTGTTATGCGTGTACGGCCCGACGTAATCATGGCAATCATCTACACCACGGAGGTTGCAATTAGCATCCACACCCAAAATAAGTTTAGCTTCATTGGGAACCGACTCCACAAGAGTTATCAAGTCCAAGAGGGATTTATTATACTCTGCTCTGCTAGTAGACGGATGAAGGTGCACAGTTCCATATAGGATATGGCCCAACTCCGGATGGCGGCAATATACCCCTGCCGCTCTCTCAAGAATGCGAGGCTCCCTAATCAACCTCAAGGCCGAGTCCCGGTGGATGACAACTGCCGCCTGCTTGGCTCCCCGTATAGGACAACAGCAGTAGACAGCGTGGCCCTGAATGGAAGTAGGAGGCTTTGCCTTTTTGAGAGACAAAAACTCTTGAAATAAGCAAACTGACCAATCGATTCATGGGTTCCACCGTGGGCTCGTCCCTCCGTGGATTGCGCCGTGGGGTGCGCCATCCATGGGCTGCGCCAATGGGTTCAGCCCTCCTTGGGTTGCGCCGCAGGTGGCGCAGTCCATGGGTGTTGTTGCAACAGGTTGCGCCATGGGTTGCGCGATCCACTGGTTGCGCCTTGGCTGTACGATCCATGGGTTGCGTCGGTTTGGCCGTCCGTGGGATGCGCTTTTGGTTGGGCAGTGGGTTGCGCCAACCATGGGCCGCGCCACAGATTTCACCTTTTGTTGCGCCATCCCTGGGGCGCGCCATGGTTTGCGCCTGAATTCACGAAGTCAGCAGCCAGCCCTCACTACGCCTGCTGCTGGTTGAGCCAAAAGTTGCGCACTCGGTGGCCGAGACTCAAAGGGCCTGCTACTGGTTGCAGAATACGTTGCGTCATGGGTGGCCGAAGATACAACGGATTGCTATTCGTTGCGCTATAGGTTGCGCACTCGGCGGCCGATAACTAGTAACAAAACGGCCTGCCATTGTTTGTGCCATAGGTTGAGCACTCGGCGGCCGACGATGTAGCGGACTCCTTACGGCTGCGACATACGCTGCGCATTCGGCGGCCCAGGTTAAGGAAACTTCTCTTGGGGTGCGCCATAGGTTGCGAACCAGGCCGCCAGAAACAAACAACCTGTTAACAGGCGCGGCCAGTCAATTCAGTTGGGCAACGCCACGCGAAAATCCGCCGCCCCAAGTGGCGTGTGCGGCCGACTTTAGCGTGTGACGTATCCTTCACGACCATGCACTACGCGTGCTCATCCGTAGGCGGAGGAGGTATCCTCTCCGCCCCTGGCGATGTTCGAGCCCCAGACGTGTATAAGGTATCCTTCCCAAACACGCACCACGCGTCATTCTCCGCAAACCCCGCCACCTCGCCACCACCTGGCCCCGGCACCCCCACCCCGCCGAATTCTGTTCTTGGGAACCCCTACCTGACAATCTCTGGCTCGGAACTTATCTCGACTCCCGCCACTAGATACCTGGCAACCACCTCGCAACCATCTGGCAACCACCTCCCCCGCGGCACTCCCAATTCCTCCGCATGCTCCTCCATCTCCTCCTCCCCCTCCTCCTCCTCAGTATCCTTCTCATCCTCTCCTCCTCCTCCTCCTCCTCCTCCTCCTCCTCCTCCTCCTCCTCGTCATCATCATCATCATCATCAGCAGCATCATCATCATCATCATCATCATCATCATCATCATCATCATCATCATCATCATCATCATCATCATCATCATCATCATCATCATCATCATCATCATCATCATCATCATCATCATCATCATCTTCATCATCATCATCATCATCATCATCATCATCATCATCATCATCATCATCATCATCATCATCATCATCATCATCATCATCATCATCATCATCATCATCATCATCATCATCATCATCATCATCATCATCATCATCATCATCATCAGCATCATCATCATCATCATCATCATCATCATCATCACCATCACCACCACCGCCACCAACATCATCATCATCAGCATCATCACCACCACAACCATCATCATCAGCATTATCATCAGCAGCAGCATCATCATCGTCAGTATCGTCAGTATCGTCATCATCATCATCATCATCATCATCATCATCGTCATCATAATCAGCATCACCATCACCATCATCATCAAGATCATCAGCATCAACATAATCATCATAACCATCAATATCGTCATCATCAGCATCGTCATCGCCATCATTATCAGCCTAATCATCATCAGAATCACCATCATCATCATCATGAATCAGCACCATCATCAACATCCTCATCCTCATCCTCATCCTCATCCTCATCTGCATCCTAATTCCCCACCTCATCATCATGCTCATCATCATCATCATCATCATCAGCAGCATCAGTATCATCATCAGCAGCATCATCATCAGCAACACCAGTATCACCACCACTACCACCATAATCATCAGAATCATCTACATCAGCATCATCAGCAACATCATCATCATCATCATCATCATCATCATCATCATCATCATCATCGTCATCGTCATCGTCATCGTCATCATCATCATCCTCATTATCAAATTCATCCTCATCCGTGTCCTCATCCGCATCCGCATCCTCCTCCCCATCATCATCAGCAGCAGCAACATCGTCGTGATCATGATCCGGATGCTCATCGGCATCCGCATCCTCATCCTCATTCTCAACCCCATCAGTATCATCATCAGCAGCAGTACGATCATCATCATCATCATCATCATCAGCATCATCAGCATCATCACCATCACAATAACCCTCACCGTCATCATCATCAGCATCATCATCATCATCATCATCATCAGCAGCATCATCATCATCATCATCATCATCATCATCATCATCATCATCATCATCATCCACATCATCATCATCATCAGCATCAGCAGCATCATCATAATCAGCATCAGCATCAACATCATCATGAGAATGTCACCTGGAGACGGCAACGTGGCATATGTAGCAATACTATCCCTTCTGATGCTCCTCCTCCTCCTCCTCCTCCTCCTCCTCCTCCTCCTCCCGCTCATCATTCGCCGTACTGAGATATGTCGGTTCCTTCTACTCCTAGGGACATACATCTCACACGTGACGTCATCCATCCTCATCCTTCTGTTCGTCCTCCTTCTGGTCATCCCTCCTGCACCTCCTTCTATTCGTCCTCCTTCTCATCCTCCCCCTCCTCCTCCTCCTCCTCCTCCTCCTCCTCCTCCTCCTCCTCCTCTCTCCTCCTCCTCCTTTCTCCTCCTCCACCTCCTCCTCCTCCGCCCCCTCCCCCTCCCCCTCCTCTCCTCCTCCTCCTCCTCCTCCTCCACTTCCTCCTCCTCCACCTCGTCCTCCTCCTCCTTCTCCTCCCTCCTCCTCCCTCCTGTTTCTCCAGTTGCTCCATTCAAGGCCAAATCCCCAACTCGCGAACGAGCGAACATCGGGCCCAGTTGATTGAGAACGACAGCGGGCCTGGGCGAGGTCGGGGCTGCTGGCCTCCCAGCAGCAACCCGACCCAGCCCAAGCTCACGCCAGTCGTTTTAATGGAAAACTCCGACCAAAAAACACCTTACTGGACGGGTCCTTGCCTTCGCGGAGCATCTTGAGACTCCGCGCAGCATCATTATGACGACGACGACGAAGACTGCGAGCAACGACGACGTCAAGTGACGATCATGGCGCACGGGGACGAGGACAACGAGGACAAGAGGACGGCAACGAACCACGACGACGCACGAGGCCGACGGCGCACGACGACACCCGAGGACGACGAATGGCGACGACACGCGAGACGACGCATGGCGACGAAAACGACTACGACGAACGACGACGACGACGGCGACGATGGCAATCGGCGTGCGCGGTGCCTTCTTCTCGTCGGACCACCCTTTGAGCGGATCCTGCCGCAGCGCCCACCAATTTGCAACCGCCGACCCCCCTCCCCACCGCGCCACGCATTGTTGCCGGGAGCTGCAAACAGCGCGCGCCCGTTCCACGTCGTCATCACTCCGCCTCCTCCCTCCTCCCCCCCTCCTCCTCCACCACCTCCTCCTCATGATCATCCTCCTCCTCATTGCGTGGTCTTGCTACTACCCCCAATAGGGTAGGCATTGTTAACTGTGACAAGCAACGTTGTCTGCCCCTGGGCCCCCCTATGGCACGTCGAGGCAGGGTATCATGCTCCGGAGCTGTTTGTCTCCGTCTGTCTGTCTGGACTTCTAGTCTTCCGAGGCTCCCTCTCTTGCAAGTGCCCACGCGCGAATCGCGCCAATCCCTCAATTCGAAGCCAAGACCAGGACAAGATCGTACCAGGACGCATCGGGGATCTCTGAGACACGACGGTCCTACAGGATGCATCGGGCGCCGCGGCCGACCAGAGCGCACCAGAATACTCTGAGAACGTTCCGTCTGGAACGCGGAACGCTGTGGAACGATGTGCGTAGCCCGGTCCTGCCCCGCCCGATACCAACGTCCTAGACGGTTTGAAGGAATGGTACCCTCGAAATGGCCAACATAGCCGAGAGAAGGCGCACAAATGCCTGCAAAGACGGCCCCTGACAAGAAAACCGCGAAGGGAACCCAGGAGACGCCCAAGAGTCTTCCAAGAGCCCGAGAAGCCCCACAAGCACAGGAGTGCTCCCAAGGCGGCGGTCAAGAGGCCTGCCAGGAGGGCTTTGATTGCCCATTCACATACTTGAAAAATTCTTAACTGCTCCTTGTGCACATTTCGGAGAGGCTCAAGGCTCAGCAGTATTTGAGCAGCAGCGGGGTTGTAGTTTTACATCCTGCCAGATCATGGGTGAGAGAGCTCGCAACTAATACGGCCTTCTGGGAGGTTTTCCGAGGGTCGCAACACAGAGACAGCCAAGGCCAAGCCCGAAGAGCACGGATTGTGCCATCCTGGCCTAGTGGAGAGTATGGCAATAAGAAAGGCTCTCAATACCAATCCAACTCCTCAGCAGGATCAGAAGGTCGCAACGAGATGGTAGCGTTACAAGCGTTCGTAGGCAAGATCCAAGCATTTCCAGCGGTCGCGACGGCAGAGTACCTTAACTACTGGCAGGTCAAAACAGTCTACGTGAAGCAGGAAATGCCTCAGCAAGTTCGGCACACCTGCTACATCCATGCCTGGGCCACGCTGGTCGGCTCCATGGTGCCGATGGATTGGGTCATCACGAGCCTCTTCCTCAAGATCGGCAGCACGGCCAAGCCTAGCCCACCTCCCAGGACGACGCAGGAGCGGAAAACGAAGGGCAATTTACAACGGCTGCTGCGCAGCGCCAAGCACCGCAAGTGAATGAGCAGCGCAGTTTTAGCGAACAGAATCAGGGTGATATTCGAGTGGACGTCGAAAGTGAGTCTGGTCAGGCAAGCAATGTAAGGATGACTGTGCTAGGTCAAACTGTTATCGAGACATGTGGGCGCCTCCCGGCAGTCACGCCCAGAAGATACGGCGAGGGAACAGGGACCAGCACATGCTTTGGATTATCATGTATGCGAGGAGTACGCTCAGCAGTTGCTTGCGTGCAGTTGAAGCAGTGGTCTGGGGGCGGTTCCTGGCGACCCCGTCGACCTCTGCTGTAAATCTGGTGTCTTATCGGCCTGCTCCAGCCATCTGTCCTCCAGGGGAAATGTCAGTGTCAGGGCCTCATGCATAGCAAGCGTTCGAGGGATGGCTGCATGCGTGGCATCAGCGGGGACACAGTGCTCTCACGTCGCCCATCGGTCGCCGCTGATCTGGCGCTCGTTGGCGCGTTAACAAGTGGTCGCCGCCGCCGCAGCCGTCTCCTCATCCGCCCTCCTCCTCCTCCTCGTCCCCCTCCTCCTCTTCTTCATCCTAGTCCTCCTCGTCCTCCTCGTCCTCCTCGTCCCACTCGTCCACCTCCTCCTCCTCCTCCTCCACCTCCTCGTCCTCCTTGTCCTCCTCGTCCTCCTCGTCCTCCTCGTCCTCCTCCTCCGCCTCCCCCTCCTCCTCCTCCTCCTCCTCCCTCCTCCTCCTCCCTCCTCCTCTCCTCCTCCTTCCCCTCCTCTTCCTCTCCCCTCCTCTTCCTCCCTCTCCTTCCTCCCTCCTCTCTCTGCGTCATCCCTCCTCCCTCCTCCCTCCCACTCCTCCTCCTCCTCCTCCCCTCCCTCCTCCCTCCTCCCTCCTCCCCCTCCTCCTCCTCCACGTCGTCGTCGTCCTCCTCCTCCTCCTCCTCCTCCTCCTCCTACTCCTCCTTCTCGTCCTCCTCCTCTCCTCTTCCTCATCGTCATCATCATCATCATCATCAGCATCATCATCATCAGCATCATCATCATCATCATCATCAGCAGCAGCATCAGCAGCAGCATCATCAGCATCATCACCATCAGCAGAAACATTAGCATCAGCACTATCATCAGCAGCCTCAGCATCATCAGCATCATCGTCATCATCAGCATCACCATCATAATCATCATCAGCATCATCATCATCATCATCATCATCATCATCATCAGCATCATCATCAGCATCAGCATCATAATCGTCATCATCAGCAGCATCAGCAACGCCACCATCACCACCAGCATCAACATCTTCATCATCACCAGCATCGGCATCGACAGCATTATCATTAGCATCATCGTCAGCACCAGCGCCGACATCTTCATCAGTATCAGCATCATCGATATCACCACCAGCATCATCATCAGCATCACCACCAATAATCAGTGTCAGCATCATCAGCAGCATCAGCATCATCATACTCAGCATCATACGCACCATGCTCACCAGCATCAGCATCATCACAAGTAGTACCAGCATCATCATCAGAAACATCATCAACATCATCAGCATCAACATCACCATCCTCAACATCATCAGCATCAAAAACATGATCAGCATCATCAGCATCATCATCATCATCAGCAGCAGCAGCATCACCATCACCGCCATCAGCAGCATCATGTTCACCATCATCATCAGCATCAGCATCAGCATCAGCATCATCAGCAGCAGCAGCAGCATTGAAATCCCTACCATCCTCCTGCCGCCTCCTTTTCCCGCCTCTTCCTCGCTCCTCTCCCTACCTCCATCCCCCTCCTTCTAGTCCTCCGTATATTCCTCCTCCTCCTCCTCCCTCCTCCTCCTCCCTCCTCCCGCCTCTTCCCTCATCCTTTCGTTGTCCTCCTTCCCCCTCCTCCTTCGCCACCTCCTTCGACTCCTCCCCCTCCTTTCCTCCCTGCCTTCCTGGAGGAGGGGGGGGGAGGCGGAAGGCTGTATGAAGAGGAACCATACTACACTAATGAGGGTGAGGGATTAGGAGGGCGAGGAGGGGGGGGGGGATTGGGGAGAGGGGGGGGGGATGGAGAAAGAGGGAGGAGGGAGAAGGAGGAGGACAGGGAAGAGGATAGGAGGACGGAGGAGAAGGAAAGGAGGAGGGAAGAGCAGGGAGGAGGGATGAGGGGGAAGGAGGAATAGGAGGGGGGAAGGGACAAGCTAGGTGCGCTCGCGTCATATCTGACGTCCTGCCCCTCCCTCCCACCCCTTACCATGGCGAAGTTCACCTCTCTATTCGCACAGTCGGACGTCGAGCAGGGCAATGATCCCGAGAAGGTGCGCGATGTATCACAGAGTACGACATACCAGGGCGTAGAAGAGCACGGCAGGGCGTAGTGTGTCATAGAATGGCGTGGCGTTGCGTAGTGAAGGATTGCATCTCACAGCTTTGCAACGCAAATACTGGCATCGCAAAGCGGCACATAACAGAACATGGCATAGCATGGCGTTGGAGATCAAAGCGCAGCAATGCATAGCATGGCAGCATGGCGTGGTACTGCGTAGTCAAGCACATATTCTAGCATTGCAGCGGAAGGCATGGCATCGCACAGCGGAACACCACATAGCATTGCATTGCATGCCGTGGCATGGCACGGGAAATAATGACGCCAACGCTGCAGCGGGAGCACGATTCAGAACGAGCGGAAGCGCGGAAGTGAGGCCAGCGCTGCAGCGGGAGCACGATTCGGAACGAGCGGAAGCCCGAAAATGAGGCCATCGCTCCAGCGGGAGCAACATTTCGAAAAAGACCCTAGCGAAAACCCACCTCCCGGGAATTCCTTAAACAGTACGCGGAGGGGGGCCGAACATCTTCCGGACGTCATCAGGGGAGAGAGGAGAGTAGTCTTCATATTGTGCAATTGTGCAGGGGGGTGAGCGAGGACGAGGAGGGAGAAGGGTAGGAGGAGGAGGAGGAGGAGGAGGAGGAGGCTGAGGAGGAGGAGGAAGGAAGAGAGACTGGGGGGTGGGCAAAGGGAGGCGGCCTCTGCCGTGCTCGTCCCCCCTCTCTTGTTCCTCTCCATATCCGCTCCGCTGGCAGCCAAGGCCCCCCTCGCCTTTCCGCCGAGCTCGTGCACTCCGGTGCGCCCCCGGCCTCCAGGACCGCTCCAGGCCCCGGGAGAGACCATGCCGAGATCTCGCTTCACTAGAGGCCTCCTGGACGGGGTCCGAGCAGATACAGCCAGAGGATCGCGCCGCATCCGCGATGCATTCACAGATGCATCGCCGATGCATCGGGGACGTCGGCGACACAACAGCGCTGTCGGCGTGGCTGAAATCGGGCCCCACATGGAGCCGCATCGCCGATACATCAGCGATGCGGCGAGATCCTCCGACCCCATCTACTCTGACCCCTTCTGGGAGGCCTGGATTCACGTATCATCTTTATCGCGTCGGCATCAACCTCGCCCGACCTGCACGAGTCCGTGACCGAACACCGAACCCCTCCCGTGCGCTCGGATGTCCTCGTCTCCCATTGAGCAGTCGAAGCCATCATCTGCGGCGCGGGTCGCGGAAGAGGCATCGTGTGGGGGGGCCCGGCGCGCGCACTCGAGTGGTGCCTGCTGCTTCTCCTCGAGGCACACGGCACGCGACGGCGCACACGGTACAGCAAGTTCGGTCATGTCGTGACGACTTCTGCTTACCAGCCTCGAACGTATCCCTATCCCTAAGATTGACACGCCAAAAGGCGATGACAATCTTAGGGACTCGCCCTCAAAAAGTAAGGGAATCCCTAAGATTGGCATCGTGATGAAGAGCTGCCCAGCATAGGGATAGGGATATGTTCCAGGCTGGTAATCTGCGCCGGTTCCAGACACCACGTGGATCGCTCGACCTCGAGCGATCGCGGCTTGCTGACAGCGCTGGCCGCTCGATGTCGGCCGGTTCCGGGGCACTAGCGGCGCTCAACCCCGGAAGCCGGCGCTCGGGTCGCCGCCGCGTGACACGAGAGAACTCGCATGGGACGTCATGAACACCCCGCCCCACTCGAGAATGAACTGAATCATCCGAAATTGTACGTGCACGTGCCGCTCTGTGCCGAATGGAAGCATACCTCGAAGAAACATGAGAGAGAAGTCCGAAACAAGGCCGCGCAACCTGCCTGCAATCGTGCACCACCCGGCTAATTACACGCAAGAGCGACCCTAGGGTAAGGTGCCCTTGGGTGTGAAGTTTTAGGAGGCCACGGGGGGTCGGTCAAAGTGACCATACAACTTTCCAAATTGCTGCGACTGGAGCTCATTATCCATCGACAAAAATTGAACATAGACGTCATGAGCAGTTGCACGGAACCAGGCGTCATCATTTGAGATACACGCAAACAGACTCCGAATGCGACAATTGACGATTGACCCCTACCTGCACGTGCGCATGTCAATGTTGCATGATACGCGTTGCATCTCTGTACGTGCGCATATATGTACAACACGCTACGTACACGCGCAACCGAAACACATAGCAAATCGTACAGACCGCAACGTGGTGTTGCTTAGCATGGACTGGCGGAAAGAGTGGCAGCTCGCCGTATCCTGGCAAGGCATGTCTGAGTCCTGCTTGAAACACGTTGGCAACGGGAATACAGACTAGCCGACTGTCAGCATGGCCTAGCTTAGCGTCTCCCGTCGAACAAAAACAGCAACGAAATTGAAGAGGCCGACCGATCCGGACTGAAAAAGCTGCAACGTCGAAACGATTAGCGAACTTATATCTCCCTCGTTTCTCAAGCTGGATAGGAACTGTGAGGGACCCTGGACCCGCAACGCAACGGGACAGAAACGCCGGCAGTGATGTTTCGCGACGCCAAGATCTGAGGGGACAACACCGCCACCGGTCCCGAAGAGACGACGAGCTGGGCACTCAGAGAGCGCAGTTGTAATAGAATCGATGCGGAAGTACTGGAAGGCTGCGGTTCGGGCACCCGGCAGACGGAGCGGGAGGAAGGAGCGGGAGGAAGGAGGGAAAAGGGCAGAGAATGGGGGGAAAACTGAATAAACACAAACTGTCGGAGCTCCGAAAGTTTATATGAATGCCTTCCTGTTCGATAGAAGTATCGAGAAGTAACGAATAGCCAAACATTACATAAACAAATAACCTCGGAAGTCCGCGCGGGCTTACCGCGTCGGTGCTAGACACCCCCCAGCGTCAGTGGTGGGGTCTGGCGCCAACACAAGGAATCCTCGCGGACCTCTGGTCCTCAAAGGGAAGGGCGGAGGAAGAGGAGGAGCCGAGGAGGATCTGAGGAGGAGGAGGAGGAGGAGGAGGAGGAGGAGGAGGGGCGCAGCAGGAGCAGCAGGAGCAAGGCGGTGAGGATGAGGAGCGGCAAGGACAGGGGAAAGGCGGAGGAGGAAGGAGGAGGCGAAGGAGGAGGAGGAGGAGGAGAAGGAGAAGGAGGGAGGAGGAAGGAGGAGGGGACAGGAGGAGGAATGAGGAGGGGAAAGGAGGAGGAGGAGGAGGAGGAGGAGGAGGAGGAGGAGGAGGAGGAGGAGGAGGAGGGAGGAGGAGCAGGGGAAAGGAGGAGAAGCGGCAGCGGGAGCAGGGGAAAGGGATGAAGAAGGAGCAAGGAGGAAGGAAGAAGGAGGAAGCAGGAAGGAGGAAAGGGGAGGAGGAAGAGGAGGAGGAGGAAGAGGAGGAGGAGGAGGAAGGCGGCGGAAGAGCAGCAGAGGGAGGAGCAGCAGGTGAAGGGAGGCAGAGGAGCGGCAACAGGAGAAAGAGGCAGGGAGGACGGGCGAGGCGGAGCTGGAGTGGCCGACGGGGGGAATCAGCGAAGCGGCTGCATGCAACTGGTTTCCCGGGGCCTCCAAGCGACGGAGGTGTCTATGCATTGAGGAAGGCAGGGCCAGAAGACGGACCTGAAACCAATATCCCCCCGTTCGGCCGATACGATCCCTCCTTCATGGATCCCTCAGAACCCCCTCGTATCCTCCAGGCGTTCCGCCACCATGAGGCAAGCGAAATAAGGAGCGCGCTCCCGGCCACGGCGAGCACTGGCCACGAATGGGTTCCCCGACAAAGAGCCCGGAAGCAGTCCGAAACCTAAAGCATCCTGGGCCCAATGTGGTCCTTCCGCTCACGGCTGTCAGTGCAGCCCAGTCAAAAGGAAGGACGAGGGAGCGAGAAGCAGGCACACGACGACGGACGCGAAGGCGGGAGGCCAGGGCTGGCGGGACGGAGCAGCCGGGCGGGCCGGCAGGCGGAAAACACGGGAGAGGCGGCAGGCCGGGGGCGGGAGGGAAATTGTAAGGACGGAGCAAGCCGGGGGCAGTGGTCCTTGTTGCTGCGTCTTGACTGTGCAAAACCGAAACCTCCAGAATGCCAAACTCCAGCCGCGGCCGCTGCGGGAGGTTCGCCTCCGTCGCCGCCGCAGCCGACCTGCTCATTGGTGCAGCACCACATCCTCGGGAGGTCCACGCTCCAGACCACGGGACCAATCGACCACATACCTCCCTACAACGCCGCGCAATCTCATCTCATTCCTCCCTCCCCTTTCCGACCCCACTCCTCCTCCTCCTCCTCCTCCTCCTCCTCCTCCTCCTCCTCCTCCTCCTCCTCCTCCTCCTCCTCGTCCTCCTCTTCCTCCTCTTCCTCCTCCTCCTCCTCTTTCTCCTCCTCCTTTTCTCCTCTTTTCCTCCTCCTCCTCCTCTTCTTATTGTGGTTGCACGGACTATGACCTGATGACCGCAGCGTCTAACTTAACCGTCTAGCCTCCTCTTCCTCTTGCCAGACGTTAAGCGGGCTCTAGCATCTAGGCTTCAGCGTCACGGTGACCAGAAAAACAATACAACCACGTAGATGCAGAGTAAGCGGCGCAGGAGGCACAAAAGATGCGGAAAGGTGGGGAGCCCGCGAAGGTAAAGAGCGTTAGACCTGCCGGTGTCGGCAAGGTCGCTCCCATCCCCCCATGCCGTCTCATCATATCATATCATACCCAGCCCCATTCCAACTTCAACGCCCCCGCCCTCAACGAGGCTCAGTGCAGCACTCGTGCCTGGCTGGCACGGCCGGCTCTCTCGACTGGAGTCGTCTGCTATCGCATCCCTTCTCCGAGCAAGCCTCCCGACATCATCATTCGCATCCCTCCTGATCGCTGGCAGGATATTCTGGGAGGGGCACTGCCAGAACGTGCCGAGCAAAGGTCTGGAAAGACGTTCCGGAAAGGGTTCCGCCGGAACGTGCCGAGCCTGTGGTAAAAATCACACCACAGGGGCCCTCACCGAGGGCAGTTCGGCGCCTGCGTAGCGTCATGCTCTGCTACTGATATGTGCGGTGGGGGCCTCTGTGCAGATGCTCCTGCCCAAGAAAGGCGGCGGCCTTCGACCGGTGGCGGTGGGGGAAACCGCGCGGCGCCTGGTGGCGAAGTGCCTCCGCAGCCAGGTGTTTGACGCCGCCCGCGACGGCCTCGCCCCCCTGCAGGTTGGCGTCGCCCTCCCGGGCGGCTGCGAGGCCGCGGTTCACGTGTCCCGACAGTGGTTCGCGCACCACGCTGGCAGCAGGCAGAAGGTGTTCGTTAAGCTAGACCTGAGCAACGCTTTCAACGCCCTCGACCGCCAAGCCCTGCGCTAGCGCCCTGGGCTTCCTGGTGCTACCGGGCCCCCTCCCTGCTCTGGCTCGGCCGGCACTCGATCCGCCCGGAATGCGGCGTGCAGCAGGGAGATCCACTGGGGCCGCTGCTCTTCTCCCTGGCGCTGCAGCGCGCTGCTGAGAGGGTCCTCCGCCAGCCCGCCCCCGCGGCCGCGGGCGCCCTGGACCTGACTTTCTTTTTTCTCGACGACGGCACCCTGGCGGCCGACTGGCAGGCGGTGGCGCGCCTGCTCCACCTGCTGGTGGGAAAATTGGCGGCCGTGGGACTCCGCTTGAGCACGGGGCCCGGGAAATGCGAGGTGGCCCCCACTGGCGGCGACGACAGCGAAGTAAATCTGCAGGATTTCCCCCCGGGCTTCCGCCTGCGCATGGACGGCTGCTTCGAACTCCTGGGCGCGCCAGTCGGCAGCGACGCCTTCTGCCTCGAGCACACACGGCAGCGAGTCGGCAAGGCCACCGAGCTCCTCGAAGCACTCGGCGCCCTCGAGCACGCCCAGGTTGCGCTCCACCTGCTGCGGCAACGCGCCAGCTTCTGCAGACTCAGCTACTTGGCGCGGGCTGCCCCCAACGTGCACATGGAAGCGCTCGTCGCGATTGACAACGCAGTGCGCACCAGCCTCGAGCAGCTGAGCAGCAGCTCCCCCACGGACGACTCCTGGGCGCAGGCGCAGCTCGCCCTCAAGGCAGGCGGCCTGGGGCTGCGCTCAGCGGAGCGCCACGCGCCCGCCGCCTACCTGGCCTCCCGCGCGGCCTGCTCTGCGCTCTGCCAGCAGCTCTGGGCGGGCTACTCCGACGACGACACTGGCGCCGACGACGCCCTGGGCGCTGCCGCGGCGGCCTACAACGCCCGGCTACCACAGGCAGACAGGGTAGCCTTCGACGCCAGCCAGCACGGCGACCAGCGGGGCTCTCTGACAGGCTGGACAAGGCCGCCAAGGCCGAACTCTGGGTGCGCGCTTGCCCCGCCACCAGGGCCCACCTCTCGCTGGTTAGCGCCCCTGGCGCCAGCGACTGGTTGCAGGCACGACCCTGCGCTAAGGTCGGCACGGAGTTCCCGCACAGCTTGATGCAGATCGCTCTGCAGAGGCGCCTGCGGGTGCAGCTGGCGGACGCCGAGACCTTCTGCCCGGCCTGCGACGGCATCCTCGAAGTCTACGGCGACCACGCGCTGGTCTGCCCTTGCCGAGGGGACCGGGTCAAGCGGCACAACGCCGGCCGCCCTTGACTTCGCGGTCACCTCGGGGCTGCGGGGCGACTTGCTCGCCGCCTTGGCTGCCGCGCCCGGCGACGCGGCCGAGCGAGCGGTACGAGGAGCAAAAACGCCTTTTCCTCGACACCGAGCGCAGTTGCGCCGCCGCCGGGATCACCTTCATTCCCATGGCGGTCGAGGCGCACGGCGGCGGCTGGGGCAAGGAGGCGCGACGCGCCCTGGCCGTCCTGGCCAAGAGCGCGGCGGCCGCCACGGGGGACGACCCCTCGCAGGTGGCGGCGGAGCACGCCCAGCGACTCTCGCATCTCCTCCAGAAGGAGAACGCGCGGGCCGTGCTCCGCAGGCTGCAGGCGCCGGTCGGGGCGCCCGCGGCCAGGCTGGCGGCGGCCACGGCGGCTAGCGCGGCCGACGCCGCCTGAACCGCCGCCCTCCCCTGACCACGACCACTCCCTCCCCTGACCACGACCACCGCCCCCGACGCCCTGCCTCAACGACCCCCCCTTGGCCTTGGCCACGACGACGACCACCTCCGTCCGCCCCCCGCTTGCTCTGCGCTGCCTCTGCTGCTCCCCTCCCTCCTTCTGGTCAGCGTCTGTTCAGTGTGTTTTTCCTATTGCCCCTCGTCTGCCTCCTCCGCCTCCTCCTTCCTCCTCCTCCTCCTCTGTCTCCCTCCCTCCCCCAGGCAGCACAGCCTGCCCAGTGCAGGCGGTGCGCAGCAACGTGCTCTTTTCCCCGCAAGAGCCTCGACGTCTCGAGCGGGGCCGGCCGCCGAAGGCAGGCACGACGACCCGCCCGCCGGGCAGTTTCGGACAGCGGCACGCTTCTGGCGTGTCGCTCCCCCTCTGGTTTGCCATTTTCGGTTCGCGAGAGGGCGGCGCGGCCGTCATTTTTGCGGGTCCAGGTCCGTCGGTTGCGGTCCTCCAGGCCGTTCTCGCCAGGGGGTGGTTTGCTAAAGGGCGGTTTGTCCACCGCCGAGGCATGGAGATGTTGTATAATGTTCGGTCTCCCGGGGCCCTCCGCGGGCCGATGGGGGTATCAACCAGCAGCTCAGGATGAAGAGTCGGTCTCGGGAGAGAGCGCCTGGCACAAGACCTGTTGCTTTTTGGGCACTCTTGCGGAGCGCCAAATGACAGTTTGACCTGCGGAAAGTACCTCCTCCTCCTCCTCCTCCTCCTCCTCCTCCTCCTCCTCCTCATCATCATCATCCTCATCCTCCTCCTCCATATAAACCAGCCTCCTCCTCCGCACGACACTGGCCTTGACGTAGGCCTGGAATCATGAGAGATAAAAGCTGATAGTACCGTGTGCCGAGACCGTATCTAAGGTGCAGCGAGGGCTTCCCTGACGTACTCGGGCGGCTCCACCCCCACCGAATCATACCCGAACCGTTACGCATGAAGGTCGGTGCACAGCCTATCTAAAAATGGCTTCGGAGACTCCTCCTCCACCACCGCCAGTCAATCTCAACCGAGCCCTCCTCCGTACCCTCATAGGAGTGCAGCAAATAAGCGACGTGGCACCTGACTGCCACATATGAGATGCGCGATTGGAACTTGTCCAGTCGCCACCATGACCATCATCATCATCATCATCATCATCATCAGCATCAGCATCAGCATCATCAGCATCATCATCATCATCATCATCATCATCATCATCAGCATCAGCATCATCAACATCACCAGCAGCATCGTCATCATCATCACCAACATCATCATCATCTCACCACCACTAATTACCACCACCATCATCATCATCACCACTACCACCACCACCACCACCACCATCATCATCATCATCATCATCATCATCATCATCGTCATCGTCGTCATCATCATCATCAACATCATCATCATCATCATCATCATCATCATCATCATCATCATCATCATCATCATCATCATCATCATCACGGCTCTCCTAAGCCTGGAGACACGAAGTGTCAAACGTGACGGCATCAGGTGTCCGCTCGAACAATCACCACCTAAAATGCTGGGCTGGCACGGTGGCGGGACTTGCCGAAGGCAGTTGGATCCGCCGCCCCCTGTTGATTCATCACAGGGGTGCCTGGCGTGCCAGACTGTACGGTTTTGGTTTTGGTTCTTTTTCCACAAGAACTCCCCCTGGGGCTCCGGCGCGTCCCGCCGGGGTCCCGGGAGGATTGCCAAGGACCTCAGTTCCCCAATTTCCTGCCCAAGACGGCTCCAAGATGGCCTCCAAGATGTCTCCAAGACGGCCAGGATGGCCTCCAAGACGGCTAAGATGGCTTTAAGATGCCTCCAAGACGGCCCAAGATGTACCCAAGACGGCCGAAGATAGCCTCAGGATGGCCCAAGACGCCCCAAAAGGCCCTCAAGAGGCCTCAAGGACGCCCCAAGAGCCAGTCGAGAGGTTCTCCAGGAGGGCCCGAAGAGGCCAAAATCATTGACTTTTCCTTGGGTTTTTGAAGGATTTTGGCATTTTCGCCTGTTCGGCCTTCAAACGGCTCAAGACGGCCCAAGAGGCCCCCAAGATCGCCCAAGAGGCCCCCAAGAGGGCCCCATGACGGCCCAAGTGGCCTCCAAGATGGCCCCAAGAGGGCCCCAAGACGGCCCAAGAGGCCTCC